TTTCGTAAACTATTACAAGAACTCAATGTTGAATCCAAGTGGACAGCGAGCTTTTAAGGTAACAGGGTTACGGTCCAGTCGTTTTCAATGAGACATGAAGCTTGTTCTAGTTCCAAACATTGTCAGTTTCACATTCTAGAAAGTTTATACCGTGGTATTTTACTTGATTAGGTAGGACATAAGATTCAATGAGATGTACAAGTATCACAAGTGATTTACTAATTAATTTATTTTATGAAAATGAATTTAATTATATAAAAACAATTTACAAATATTATAAAAATGATGTTTGTCTATAAGTGCAATGTTTTATATCAGACGAAACTCTTGATATTGAAGCAAGAGTATTGATAGAAAGTAATTAGGTGAAACCATCCTTGCAAAAAATGGTCTGTTTTTTCAAGCTTATATAATCGATTAGTTGATAGCTATCAAGCTTGAAATGCCAACTATTGATGCAGCCACTTGGGTGTAGTTCTGATGATCCTTTTCTGATTCTAAATATCATCAATAACTACAAATTAAAAGTAGTATTGAATTAATTTTTATTTTTTCATCAAATTATTTATAAATAATTTAGTCTTACTCATAAACAGCAAACCATCAGAAAGACCTGATTAATTTTGAAGTTGCTTATGTAATTTTATAATTGTGCTATCTACAAAAAATTGAAGGAACCTTTTGTGAATAAAATTATGAGTGCTTGGAGCAACTGTAGTTAAATCTGCTATTACTTTTGAAGTTTAAAAATTCAACATCCATTTATGAGCTGCCAACATAGCAGATTGTATGCTGAGCAGTAAGGATATATCAGAAGTTGGTAATCTTTTCTATTCACTTCAACAGGTAATAGAAGTCCAAGAAATTTATTTTTATTTAAGAGAATTGAACATATTTTTAAATTTAATTTTAATATTTTCAGATAAAATATATGATCAAATAAATAGTTGAAGTACAAGATTTGTGGATTTTTACTATGCAAGGAAAATATCTTGATTCAGGAGCAAATCAATGGATAATTGCAAGCAGGTAAACAGGTAGAATTTCTCACTTTCAAATCAACTTGTAGTTTTCTACAGTATCTACAGAGTTTAAACAAATGTCTGTTTCTATTTACAAATAAAATAAGTCATTAATTGCTGATTAAAAATAAAAGTAAAAAACATTAATTGCTTATTTTATAAGAATACAATTTTCAATGTTTTGAAAATGCAGGTGTTATTCTTACCTATGATGAATAATTTCAAGTTCTATTTTGCCTGAAAATGGTAAGACTCTGCATTCATGAAGGGTCCAACTTATTTCACCCCATCATGATAATAATCCAAAACTTATTTGATAAATATTTATGATGAACGTTTGTTTCAATATACATCATTCTTACTATCATTACTACAGTAATTTTCATAAGCATGTCTCATCAATGACATTATAAACCAATAATATTTGAAATTTTGTAATTTATAAGAAGTAATAAATCGTAAAATAACTTAATTAATACATAAAAATATTGTAAAATTTTACAGATACATCCTATCATAAACATGAAAGGTTATCTGCTGATGAAGGTGCAGCAAATCCGGTTGAAACAAGAGGAAGCCTATTAGAGATCAACTGTTTCCATAAAATACTTTTGGTAACTACAAAAAATCATAATCCTATAAAATCTATCGTTTAACGACAGAAAAAGTCATTTTATTTTTCAATAAAGAAGACAATATGGTTATCAGAACCTTCATCAAAGATGGCAATAATGTAATAATCTTGGAAAAAAGTTCTTCAATAATGAATTCTCAGTCAATGTTAGTAATGAACTATTCGGAGTCTAAATTCCAGAGAAATTTGATAGTACAAACAAAGCTGTGGAATTTACGATTGCAATAAAGTTGAAATACCCCAGGAATATTAAGGATTTCTCTTTGAATCCTGAAGAACACTGCAGCTCTCATTGATCGTGAGTCCACCACAGTATTTTAGTAAGATCACAGTGTTAGTGGTATAGAGTATAACCGTCGACAATGATAATTTATGTTAATGGATGTTCGTATATGTATACGAGCAAGGTCTACTTGCTGGTTCTCCAGGCAGTCTGTGAGATATAGTCGTGACGCTCAGACGTATGATACTTGTTGTTTTCCATATAAACTATCATTTCATCAGTCATTACAGTGTTATTTGATGATTGGTAAAAAGTGAATTACAATTTTAATCTGCCATCAGTTACTGTATAATTATCCCCACTTAAATGTCAGTGCCATGCTTTAATCGGGTTCAGCCCTCGATTCTTTTTAATTCAGAATAATGGCGACGCCCAGTTTGGGGGCATCCCTTGTACGCAAAAGCAGAACTGCGCACGCATTTCAGGGATCTGAAGCATTTGCAGAAGTACAAGTGATCCTAACAAGAAAGACTTAGTTTTACATTTATTGTCGTAACAAAAAAATTATTTTGTGAATTTTAATATTTCTTTAAAGTCATTTTTATGTTACTTGAGTGATTTTTTATCCAAAAAAAAATACTTGTACGTAGAAAATTTGTTTATCTAAATTCTATTATGATTTAATTTCACGTCATTATTTTTAACAAGTGAATGTTGACAGTAAGTAATTTGTTTTAAACTATTATCTGATTTACTTTCATTCTCATGACAACTACCATCATTTTTAACGTTTTTATCGCATATTTTATGATAAAAAATATAACACAATTGTTTTTTATGTATTTCAGATATATTTTATCTATATTTGAGACTAAGAAAAAATTGAATTTGTGTATTTTATGGATAAAAATATATTTTTTTGGCATATTATGTAGATTTAATGGCAATAAAACCTGTGAATTTTTATTAAAGCATTTAAATTTTAGGAGAGGGGGACAGACTCAGTCGACGCCGATCGATTTGCACCAGAATTCAACGTCGTAATATAGACATTTGAAATTTGAACAGTTTTTTAACTTACCAAAATTGTGATTGAGATTCTGAAGAATGAATAATCAGGTAATAATCAATATTTTTTATTCAATAAACTCTTTTTCAAGTTCCATTATTTTAATAAGAATTTGTCCTAAAGTAAAAATTGAAATTCTTTAATAATTAAACAGTAAACAGGAATATATAGCTATAAAAAATTATATTTAACTTTAATTCATATTCATTCCATTAATATTTTAAAAATATCCATTTATTTTTTACTGCTCAGAAAGCCACATTAATTTTGTGCGTTAATGTTTAATATGCAATTAAATAACGCTCTTAATTACTCATTTTATTCAATTAAAATTGTTTTAAATTCAAAATGAAACATTATTATTACTGTTCCTGGAATTTAATTTGATAATTAAATATTTTTAATGAACTAAATAACTAAATTAATATTGAAATCCAAGGGTGAATACATTTTTAATGAATTAAAAAACTCCTCTAAACATATTCTCCAAAATAAAATGAGAAATATTGTGTGAAAATAATCAACAACATAACTCAGCTTTTAAACTGATAATTAAAACGTTTCAAGATAATTAACCACACTATATACACTCACTGCTGGTTATTAATATCTGTTGAGCGAAAAATTTAAAGATCATTGACAGCATAATAATTACTCCAAAAAGTTAACATATTATATGCATACACCGACATAGTATTACTTGTTAACGTTAAATGTCTAAATTAACGTATTTCCGCAATGAACAATGACGTCATAGAATCATTTATGGGAGACATACTGCGATTCCAATTTTTTTTCTCATTGTCTGTATTATACTCAGCCAAATTCCCACAGTAACATTTTAAGGTTCTCATACCGGATGATACAACACGGAAATCATTTCGTATTCAACAATTATTCACATAAATCTGCTCATAATTTCATACTTTACATCATCTTTCGAAATATTTACGTGTAAACAAATTTTTTATCTAATTCGCCAACATCTTCAAGCAACTGATATTCAAGCACATTTCACTGAGAACCATTACCTTCCTACTCAGGTCGAAAATCCTCACCCAGTATAAAACTATACATCGTATCCAACTGTGGACCCTGAAACGACGAAAATTTATGACCTTGGCTTTATGTTTGGTCCCAGTCTAGTTCTGACCTGATGGGTATTTCAGAATTATTATTATGCTTTTTTTACTATAGAAACACGAGGGATACAATTCTCAATGTATCTGAAACTTTTATATCGACGTATCTGAAATTTTCAATTACTATTGATTAAATTTAAGACCATTTCAAATGTTCCGCATTTGTTGTTGATATGTTACAGCAAATTAACATAATATTTCAGTAAAAGTCGTTAATAATTGCCTGTATTGAATTTTAATAAATTTTTTTGCATAATGTTACATAAAATTAATTATGAATGGAATACTAGAGAATTACTAACAACTCATTCTAGAAGCTATTAATATTTTAATTAGAACAAATTTCTATTACGTTTATATTTGCATATTCTGGTTATTAATGGAGCGTGAATATTTTTATACAAAATAAATGAATGAAATAATTAAATCATACATTGAGTTAACAATTTTTTTATCACTGAATATATTCTTTTGTTCTTAGCCGAGTATGATTATTTAAATATCTATGTAAAACAGAAGTTTACCATTTTAAATTCAGCAAAAAAATTGTTTAACAATATATACTCAACACTTTTCTGATAAATAATTCATTGTATAAAATAAATGATATTTCTAACAATGACAATAGCTAAACATTTGATTAGTTTTTTATTCAAAGGTAAAAAGTTAATTAAAAAAGTTGCATTAATCAAATAAAAAAAAATAAAAAGAAATATGACTTTATTTTTAAGATACTTACTCGAGATATATTTACTACATAACATAGCAAAAATATAAGTCTAAGACGTAATGCTAAGTAATACTATAACAAGTAGGTAAGTGCTGATACTTGTGAAATTCATTTCAGCGACGCCATAAAACGAAAACTAAGGGCCAGTGGGGGATCTGCTCCGACAGCAGAGTGAGGAAGAGAGAGCAGAACGATGCCGGCTGGCAAGCAGATGGCTGCTCCGTTTATTGGTTTATTCGTCGGTAACGGCAACGTGTCCCGCCCGAACTAAGTTTTCTTTGTGTTGTCTAGAATGAATACGACCATGGTGAATATCTACTGTACCCAATCACCTCAGGAAAGAGCATCGTACGTGCCTTGGATACGTGTCAATCATCAAGAGTCAAGAGAATCATTGATAGAGATTCATATTAATGAAAGGTACGTGAAGATAAATTACACTGTGGAATAGACATTTTATGCATATATTATCTCAACATATTAATATATTTATATATTCTTCTTATATAGCTGATTTCATTTGTAATTTTTCATTTGATTTCTTATTTTACAGACATTTATTCATTTTATTTTAAAAACCCTCACATTGGACCCTTTCCTCTTATTGGAATTCAATAATTTATGTAAGTTTTTGTAAAGTTGCATCAGAAATTCAGTTGGAGATCTTGAATATTAACATTATTAGATGTAACTTTATTGTTTAATTGCTAAAAAATATTTAAAAAATGTAAAATATTAATTCTAACTCAAAGAGCCATTTTGCCAAGAATCTTTCGAGAAATAATTAGACGAATAAGTTAGTGAAGATGAGTCCAAGCTTGAAAAAAAAATACAATAGAAAATTAGTTTCAAACTACACCTTTTTCTCTTGTTACATGATGTGGTAGTTGATTACAATCAGAAACCAGCTGATTGGTAAAAGAGATATTGCACACATCCTGTATTCTATTATTTCTGTAATTAAAATTTTTATGATGATTTTACTTTTAGAATCAAAAAATTACAGTAAATTTACTTTTCTTTAATTCAAGATCTTATTCTCGAGGATAATTAAAAATTGAATATCCAATTGGCAGGGAAAAAAAATTAGACAGAAATATGGTAGTAAATTAGTAGATTCCATTTTAACATTTTGTAGTTAAATTTTGAAACATGATTTAAGAATGGAATCTTTTCATGGAATATTATTTTGCTCATAACATTTACAATTGTAGAAATTACACAGTTCAATCTTTTGAATGAGTATTATTACCTGCTTCAATCTTAATGGAAAAATTACCGTCATTACTACATAACTTTGATCTTTTTTGTTTCAGGTGAGCAAAGAGTAACAAGTAACGAGGAATATTACATTAAAGATAATAAAAAAATGTGTAAATGGCAAACAAAAAGCTCAATGGTAAATATGTTCTACTAATATCAATAACTAATTATTAAATTCACATTTACTCACAAGAAAAAAAAAGAAACATCTTCATGTTCAATTTTCATTCATTTTACTTGAACCAGCTGGCTTCAAATAAATTCATAAAAAGGTATTCGTTGCAATTACTTAAAATAATACTCCTCTCTAAGCTTCTCTAGACTACAATGCTACTTTCTCTCTAATGCATGTAATTTATGTATGCAGAAGTAAATTTACACGGTTCATTACTATTTTGTGTTTTTTTAGGTAGAAAATCCTTTAAGCCAAGTAAAATGAGAACTTTGAAGAGGGTAAGAAGAGTCAAAAGTCAAGTGCCTGTTGAGTAAAAGGTCTTGTTGTCATTTGGCAAAGAATTTTGACACTTCAGCATCCATGTTAACGAGTTAACGTAGGCGTCCTAAGCCGATTAAGAGTGGATACACTTCTTGTACAACTTTGTTCATGCATTAAAAGACAAACAGATTTATGCTTAATATAACCATCTGACAAATACGTTAACAAGATGAAGGTAAAAGCTTAGTTTATAATTATCAAAACTCACCAGTTTTTTTAAGTAGATTACGATAAATGAACTAGGGATAAAGATTACTTGTAAATGATCTCTTTTTGCTCCTGTGCAAATGAAAACAAGAGTATGTTCTGCACATTAGCATTTTCTTGGTTATTTTTTAATAAATTCATACTAAGTATTCGATGATGAAAATCTATGACTACTTTAGTGAGAAAAATGGTTATTTAGCAGATGTAATTTTTTTTAATTTGATATTTTACTGTTGAAAACAAGTGCAGTTATGATAAATCTTTAATGCAAACGTCACCATAAATTTAAATAAGCTGCTTAACTAAATTTAATTCTTATCTACTATAACAGGTGTATAATTTCCCGTACGAAAAGCAAACGACAAATTTAGGATACCAAGAAAGTAATGAAACAGTGAAGATAATTATATACTTTTCGATATGACGTAAAGATGAGAATTTAAGGAGTATAACTCAAAACTATCTGCGATATCATCAAAAATTTATGTAAGTAAAATATTTTACTGTAGAATATAAATCCGTACGTTTTATATTTTCAGTCAAGAAGTTTTATTAAAAATTAAAATAAATTTTTTATTAAAATATAGAATTCACACAATTGGTTTAATTATCAATTTTGTGATATTGTTGGTGTTATTAATTTTTTTTTAAATTATCAAAGTTAAAAAATTGATATTTTATCATGACTAATAATATTATGGATTATTCAATATAAATTTCTTTTTTCTTATGTAAAGTTATAATAAGATACTTCTTTACAGTCAAAAGATGATTTTCTCTGCATAAAAAAGAGATTTGTATTTCATTTACGTTGATTACAGCAATTATTAAACTTCATTTAATACTTTTCTATAAAAATAAAAAGTACATAAGTTTCATTACACAGTAAATAAATTCTCCAGGAACGAATTTATTAATCTGCAATGCGTAAAAGTAATTACTGTGAATCAATATAGAAAGTTAGCTTGAACAAATTATATAAATTCCTACTGCTTCCATTTATTTTAATATTATGTATGCTTTTTACAATACGAATATTCAAAGACTATTATAAGTTATTAATGATGTATTTGTTGTCTTAAGAATTGTAATTAACATATTATGATGATGTAATAGAAAACTGTGTTACTGATGATAAAAATATTTCTGGTATATCTCTACAAATAATTAATGAAGAGATGACTAAAAAATGATTTTTATCACTGGGCTTATGAAATACTAATCGTAATGTAAATACAATGTTTAAAAAAAATTTATATTTATATTTAAAGGCCCAGGTAATGTTCTACATCTACCCTGTAGATCCGAATTTGTTTGAAAGGAGGCGACAAATTCGGTTCTAGAGAGGTTTGTGTGGTGCATACAGAGCTACAATGGTCTCGAAAAAATAAATAAATATAAAATCCAAAATAATTGAAAGAGAAAAAAAGCTAATTGCCTTTCAGTAAATAATTAATTGTGCATAATGCATATTAAATGATATTGAGTCATGTTTTTCTTATTATTAAGTAATACAGTAGCACTAGAAAATAATCTTATTACTTTCTAGATAAGATGCAAAGTATGTTAATTGATAGAAGCAGTGTGAAAGACTCATTTTTGTACATTAAAGTTTTTATCAATACTTTAGAAGCTGTGATTATTGTGATAGTATGTAGATTATTAAGTAATATTATATAATAAGAAAAAATTAATATAAGTAAGTGCAGTTAATTAACCGCACTTACTTTCTTGAGTTAAAAATGCGAATCGCATATGCTAATGTTACGTAAACAGAATTCAAATTACTGCTTATGGATCTTAATCAATTGCATTTTTATTATAAAATGCATTAAGTAGACTATGTAAAAAAATTGTTCAATAATAGTAGTACAGTCAATATACATTTTTTTAAAGTTTTTTTTTTATTTTAAAAGAAAATTATAAAAAAACCTTGTTATCCACAACTGTTGTAGACTATTAGCACTTCTAAAAAACATTACTTCTATAAAACTTATAAATAATAATATGTGCAGTTATATATGAGTAGTACATATTTATTTAAATAATCGAAATTGTATTTTTAAGAAATACATTTGTATCTATATCGATTTTTGAATTTTGACTGGAGACTGTTACTGAATCTACTGTTGATAATGTAGAAATTTTTTTTTTTGAATCTCAGATGCACTGATTTTATTGATTAAAAATGAACATTTTTTACTTCAAAGTTTCTAATCATTATTAAATATCGATAAAAAAAGTTTTAACATATTATTTATTATAAAATTTCAAATCAGAAAATATTTTTCATTAATATTTCTGTGACTAATAATTATGAATGATGTCTAGCGTTCAATTAATTGCTACTGTTTGAAAAATGTCTTGCATATTATTCTAACTTTCATAGTTTCATATCAATCAAAATACTGCTACAATTTGTGCCACAATCAATATCATGATTATACTACGAGTTATGAAAACAACTCTTGCATTCTTCACTGACATGAGTGTACATAAGTTTAATAGACACATATTTATATTCTCTTGTCATAAAAATAGAAATCTAAAAATAAAATAAAATTCAATTATTCACTTACTCTATGACATTATGTTATGTTCGGGTCAGTAGCAATCTAGTAAGTGCAAGAGAAAGGAGTTTATGAACTCACACAAGCATTGTAAAAAAAACTATCAATAAGATCTTAGTAAAAGCAGCAGCCTTGACTATGGAATTATTGCTAAATCACATGGTAATTGATGAATTAGTACAACGTTTTTTACATGCATATATATGTTCATAGTAGAGATTAACAATGATAAAAACGTTTGGACATTAATCTTGCATTGTTTTGATAAACAAACCAATTTCAGACCAAAAGTCCAATGAACAATGAAAAAATTGAAGGATAAATTTTAGTCAAATCTTTACAATTTCAACTATAAAATTTTATTTATAAGAATAACTTGAACAATTTAAAATTACTTCTTTATTGTATTGTTTTGAAATATCAACATTTTATTACTTGCTCCAATGTTGCTCCATTAACCATTTTTGAGCAACGTATGCAGGCTGATCAAATTTTCATTATTCATTTCATTTCAAGAATCTGTTCGAAATTTTTATTTGAAAAACTTTTCCATCAATAATTTTGTATATTCTTTGTATTTAATATGATAAAAAAAAAACTCAGTTATAACAAATCGTACACAATGCGAGATCTACGTTCACACGAGAAGAAAGAACAGGGTGGATGCGTAAACATCTTGGCGACTTCAATTCTAAATTTACATCTATAGCGTGAGGGCAAACATGAAGATTAATGATTTATATGCCAAGGAAAGTGTATATTGCCTGCTGATGGTAGCTTTACGCGAGGAATTCTACGGTAGACATCTAACGTAATATTCTGTTTTTGTCATATAATTTTTCACAGAGCAAATGCTCATACCGTTGTTTTAATCAACATTAATTCTTTATCGAGTCATCAATGTTCTTATCTCTATCAACCTTAATAACCACACATTTGATCGCTAGAAAGCAAATCAAAGTCAATCATTTGTTAAATGTATAAAAAAAAATGTTATAAGAAATGTGAGTAGAAAATTAAATAAAAATTTGTCATTAGTTATAGAACAAAAAAATCGTTTTTCATAGTCATGATAATAATAATAGAAAATGGGATGTTGAGTTCTTAGTAGTAAAAGAATTTAAGAAATTTTGCTGACGCAGTTGTATTTTTTTTTGCAAATTCTAAGACAAGAAAATTAATTTGGGCGAATGATATGTTTAGAAAAAATGACCTATCCTTTTTTTCTGACAGATATGAATAGTGATTAATTTCCCACATAATTTTTTTTTTCAACCAAAACATAAAATATCACTTTTTAATTATTTTATTTAATAAAATGAAAAAAATGTATAGTTATTTTTTTCAATCATTATCATCAACAAATTATTTATTTTCCAGCTCTTTATCTTGGAAACGAATGATCACAAATGATTATAAATATGATTTTAAATGAGGGAAAGCTTTAGAAAAAAAACACATGATCTATCAATTGAATCGATCATTTCAGATGTTTTTGTTTTGCTTGTATAAAATGCTGTGAAATCGATCCTGTATTGATCTCAAATAAGAAGGCACGCATAGATCGGTCAGAAATGACGAACTGCGTTGCCGCTGTTGTGTGGTTTGTAATATTAATGATGACTCGGCTCAACTCACTCAAATGACGTCTGTCGGACCTATCGACTTCGATGCAATTTCGTATTCCATCAGCCAGAGAACTGGGATCGTGACGTTAAATCTCTTTCATAATGTCAATCGTCTCGAGTTCATCATATTTTCAACTTATGGACTTGAACTTGATTTACCACACCTACTACACGATCGTTTCTTCATACTTTTCATGTTTCCTTCCCTCATCATGTTCGTACTTCCTCAAGAACACGTGTTTGTACAAAAAACACAGTCATTTTTTAAATTTAATTGAGAAGTTGATGGATAATTGACTTCAAAAGTATTTGTTTATTTTGAATTTTCTTATAAACTTGTAAATTCTGGGTATTATACTTATTTGTTTCTCATTACATGGATTAAATTTCATCAACAAACAGGATATATCCATCTAACTTTGGTCAATCCTAGTTCAACAGTGATGTTAGCTAGCATACTTTTCTATGGAATACATTCAAAAAACATCAACTATTGCAGAAAAGCCAAGTATTTTTTCATCACAACCAACAGGAATTTTTGGAATAATTATTTGCTATTCATCTGATTTACTTTGAGTGATGATGATCCAAGACTACCCAGGACAATTTCACTGCTCCTAATGGCAGAGTAAAACCTCCTGTGAAGCTTGTATCAAAAAGGTATCAAGATTTTGACTGACAACGAACTAAATTTTCCTGGAGTTCAACACCACAAATCATCATGAAATTGCAACAAAAATGAGAAAAACAACCATCTTGTATTATTGATCTTTTGGAAAAAAATACTTCAACCCTACATGATTGTTTCCATTGTATTAAAAAATCAATGCTAGAGAAAAACGAATTTCCCTCAGACCCTAGGCGGTCTTTGGTTCTAAGTAAAAGTATGTATAGCTTGAAATATTCAATTATACTCCTTTTTATATAGGTTATTATTGTGTGCTGCGTAGGTCAGCTTGAATAATAATGGCAGAACTCCCTTTTTCGCGTTATTCCGGCCTTCTGGATATGAACATTCGCCTCCTGCTGGAACAGTAGCTGCTAGATTTCCTATGGAAGGGATGAAAGTGCAAGGGGAGAGAGTGGAAAAAGCTGTAGAAATGCTAGCATAGAATAACCCCTCCTTTCTTTTCATTCCCTACCAATAGACGCATCTCCTTGTAACATCGCGCATCGCCGGTTCAGAAACGTAGCTCAGCATACAGCCGCGACTCTCCAAGCACTTTCCTCTTCACCCACTAGTCAAACCAAAACTCGGCATGATTAATGATCACAAGCAAGGAGCTCCGTGCTTCAAACAACAAACTTTTCCCAAGGAACGCCAAAGAATATAGGAAAAAAATATATGAGAAAGAAGGGAACTCTTTTTCTTCACATCTACCCTTCAGCCGACTAATACCTCGGGCTCCTTCATTCTATCGGCCTTTCATTTCTTTTTCCCCCCGTACAAAAGCTAGCAGCCAGCGTTTTCTTCTTTTCTGCTTATATAGTCTCTCTTGCTTTCTATGCTATCGCTGCTGTTCTTTTTTATCTTTTTTATTCTTCAGGATACTATCAGTGTATGACATTGGAACCGTCAGATTGGAGTCCATAAAAAATCGTTTCTCTGCTTTGGCTATTTCGATTTTTCCTTTTTTCATAAAATAATATCTCGGTAAAAACTTAATTGAATTTTTTTTACATTACCCTGCTGAAGTAAATACATTCATAATTGTATTGGAAGACTTTGAGATCATTTTTACTCCGTTTGGTGATTGTGGATTTCAACAAAAGTATCGACAAATTGATTGATGCAAATAGATCTCAATTT